AGTGAAAGCTAATGAGAATGCTGCTGTCGGTCTCCTATACAACTATGTCTGTAAGAATGAGGTCAGAATTAAGGATGTGATTAAATGTCATCAGCTTCAACTGGATTTGTTATGTGCTGATGCATTTTCCTGAAATGGCTCCCAAATCTTAACCCAAATACATGGGTTAAGGTTCCCCATGACTTCAGCTAATTTTGGAGCAGATCCTTTGAGGTGTTCCATTAAACCCCCCCAGCTCAGACTTTCCTTTGCTCAGCTGAAATCTGTGATTTCAGCCCCTTCACAGCAGCTTCTGTCTTTTGGCCTGTGACAGCCCAGGGACATCTGGCTCCAGCTCACAGGTGGCTGGTCCACTATCACAGAGCACACTACTTTGGGTCCTGCTCCTGGAACTATTTTTTTAAGTTAAAGTGTCACTTGCCAAAACACAGAACCAGTCCTAACACCAGAAACTTAATCTCAGGTCTCAATTCTTCCACGCAGACATTGTAATTAGAGATGCCAGAGCTGTGTGCTCTCTTGGGCCCCAAACACTGAAATTTTCTTTGCCCAGCGGCAGGGTTCCAAGAAGGGTAAAGTCCAGTCTAACTCACTAGTGTGTGACCTCATGAACAGCACGGCACTGGGCTCATGTACCCTAAGAGGTGCTGAATCCATGGCTTGGGTGATCCACCTACAGATAGCCCAGAATGAGCTCTGATTTGCCCAAAGAAGAGGCAGTCTAAGTTCACCACTAAGTGTTAGTGAGATTTTAGAGATTCCTGCATGTTTACAATTGCACTAAGGGTTTTCCACAGCTTCCTTTCAGTTTTATTTTATTTTATTTTATATTTTCCTTTGGCCATTGTATTTCAACTGAAAGTAATGAGGTCCCTCCAGTAAGGGTTTCATGCTGCATGTTCTCTTTGTCACACAAAAATCAAAGGGAATTTTGCACGTGAATAAAATAAGAGGCCCTCAAGCTATAGCTAGAAGGTCTTGGATTATTGTAGCTGTCTACAGGAGAAATCTTCCTGCCCCGAAGCAGTCATCTCCAAGGAAAAACTATGTATTTTTGTTTTCAGACTCCAGAGGGAATTTGGATACACTGTGGAACTGTAGAAAGTTTTTACCTTTCCCCTGAATCCCAAATTTCCAAATCTTGAGATGCAGATTGTCTGAAAGTTTTGTGTTGTTTAAATGCTGGACATTCCTCTTAGTTCCATATCATTTGGAGTCTGAGAGTTGGTAGCAGAGAGCAAAATAAGAGATACGTTTTGGGTATATGTGATTAGTAAATGGATTGACATTTTGTCTTGTATTTCAAAAGGTTTTTCCTACTGGGAAATCAGTCTCTACTCATAGTGTTGTGATAATCTGCTTATAGTCCAGTTCATCAATATCTTAAATACCCACATGCTTTTCGTCTACAACAAAGTAACTGTCATTTACACGATGGTTGCTAACCACCTCAAGTAAATTTCCTAGCAGAATATGGGGGAGTTTTAGCCAGCTGTGCATACTACTTTAATAGTATAGACTAAATAAGCCTATTGATAATTACATTTTCCAGGTACCAGAAGCCTGTTAGTAGCACACCCCTCCCCCCCCGAGTACAACTTCATTTCTCTTTACTCTCAGGACCTTGCAGGCTGACACAAGATGCTGTAGGGGAAAGGAAGGACATAGAGGAGCATGGATATCAGCATGAGAACATGGCTGCTCAGCAAAGGCCCACTGGCAGAATGGAGAGGTTACAAATCAACAGGATAAGCATCTTTTGTTTGGCTTATTATTGATCATCTCTATCAGTCTGTAAACTTGATCCTTTTGGATTCCCTGATATGGTGGAACGTGGTCCTCAGCTTTGCATTCTGGTAACTCAGGGACGGCAGAAATGTCTCATGGAGCTACAGTCAGGGATTGTTGTGGCAGCCCTGAGTGTAAGTGGTTTTAGCAAAGTTTAGGATAGAAATGGGACAGTGGATGTACTGGTAACTAAAATACAATGTGAGACCCAGACAGTGCCTAAACTACTGACAAGCAGAAGCTGAGAGGGCATATCAGGGAAAGATCTTTGTACACAAAACCTATTTCTGTTCTTTCTAAACATCTACTTCTGACCACTGTCCGAAAAGGGCTACTGGGCTAGAAGAACACTTGTTTTGATGCAATATGACCTTTCTTAATCATTTTTAGGGTGTACTGTTTCATACCCAGTGCTTCTAGCTCTGTGGCATTCCCTCTACTGCAGGTAGCACTACAGACACCTGGACAGAGATCCAGGCCCCTGTTCTCTACCTCCATGAGTCAAGATGATAAAAATTCACCTTCATCTCCCATCAGAGCAGAAATACTGATGCCGAATGCTGTCAAGAATTGCCCTGTTACTCTGGAATCTTGAAAAGGCAATCCTAGCAAACCGGGGTGGGTATTAGCTTGTTTTCCATCACTGACCTGAGTTTCTACAAGGGAGACACATGGGAGCAGAAACAACATAAATGGAGCATGAGATTTTTACTAGTGCATGAGCACTGAAACTATTACTCACAGTGTATAGTTTGAGTAAATGCAGTTTTAGGCTATTCTGCTACATATATATTCACCATACATAGATATCTGACAGTAATTACACTTATTGAAACTATTGGTAACCAGAATCATATCTCTTTCATGAGTTTATAAAGGGACCCTTTCAACTTTAAAAGCCCAAATTAGCAAGGCAGTTATACATATGTGTTATTTTAAGCATGTGCTTTAATCCACAGCCACTCCTCTAGGCGCATGTCAAGCTGAGCAAGTATGGGAGTGCTTTGCTCAGCCAGACCTGGTGAATTTTCTAATCACTGTTAGAATTTAAAAAGCTGGTGTTATTTTAATAATTCTAAGTCTTGTCTTTGTAAGGAAGCCATACTCTGATATAGTGTTAGTTAATGAAGTCAGTTGGAGGAGAATAAGTACAGTTTTAGAGCAGCCTCTGAGTTTTGTCATTTGTTTCCATTCTTCCCATCCAACAAGGTGATGATGGTGGATGAGGAGGTGCACTTGTGGGGCACCAAAGGACAGTTGGGTTATTGAGTTATTGACTCTAGAGCTTTGTGGATTACCCTAGCTTTTCCTTCCCAAGCGTGCAGTTGAAAGTAAGCAGTGCTTCTCCAAACCTGATTTAGACAATACAGAATGTGCCCTCTTTTGAGAGACAGCGAACAGGTGAGCTTGCCCTCTTCACCTATTCACCAATACACAATTTGTTCACACCAGGAGTTAATCTAGTCTGTGACAGCACCCCAGTATTTTCTCTCTCATTTAGCTTTTCTCATGGAAGGTAATTTTCCTTAAAGCATTTGGGCTTCAGCAAAGCAGAGAAGTCACCAAAAAGGTCCCTTCAGCAATTTCTGCTCTTAGAATCTGGCCCCTGTCCTGTTGATGGCACCAAGGGCAGCAAGGGCCCAGTTACCACTTTATCCTTTGGTCCACGTAACACAGAAGGCTCTGGGTGATGGAGTCCTGCTCCTGCACAAGCCCTAGGTGTGCCAGTGGTGAGATGAGAGATCTGGTCTTTACTGCAGATAAAAGAGGTCAGGACAGAAGGATCAGGTCTCTGATGAATTGCATGCTAAAGGAAATCCACATCCTGCCAGTTGCGTGATTATACAACGGGACATGATTTTTTAATGGAGATGGAAACCAGACATTTTGACATGACCGAATTTTGCTCAGGGCTATCTATGTGCTGCTCTCACTGAAGTGTCTTGGCCAAATTTGTCCCTGGTTTTAGAAAACACAACTCTGCTGAGGTGTGATGGAGCTGAGTTTGATACTGAGGTGCAGCTGAAGACAAATATTCCATGCTGTCTCCTCTCAGGGCAGGGAGAGAAGCCCTGTAAGAAGCTGGTTATGAAATCCTACTGCTACCCTGTGCCTGTTTGGCTGGCAAGCATGCAGATTTAAAAACTAATGTTTTGGTTCTCCAACTGATCTTTAATTTCAACTCTCTTCTTTTAAGCTTGTCCTGTTGAACACACTCTCTGTGAATAAACTGTCATTGGGGCTTAACCTGTTCTGAGGCTCAAAAAATCTCAATGAATGTTTACCTGTCATAGACATAGAATTGGATGAAAGAAAGAAAGAAAGAAAGAAAGAAAGAAAGAAAGAAAGAAAGAAAGAAAGGAAGAAAGAAAGAAAGGAAGAAAGAAAGGAAGAAAGAAAAGAAAGAAGAAAAGAAAGAAAGAAAGAAAGAAAGAAAGAAAGAAAGAAAGAAAGAAAGAAAGAAAGAAAGAAAGGAGTAATCTATAATAACATTTCAACTCCTGCAATACAGGAGGAGAAAAATTTTACAAAGTCCTTGGACAAGGGTCTTCCTGGAAGGAATCATGTAAGAGCAAGCTCACATTTTCTTCCCTTTGGTGATGGTGCTAGCAGGGCTTTGGAAAGCACTGGTGCTCTAAGTACTGCAACATTGTCAGGACATAGTTATGGGTGGAATTTCTTTCCCCTTTTGCTGAATCACCTCTCTGGAAGACTTCAGGTCAAGGCTGAGCCTGTGTTGAAAGACGAACTGTAGTCAGATGCAGGTGAGCTTGATTGAAGGTAAATATGTCACCTGTATTATCCCTTGGGCCATATTAGATGGAAAGTTAGATTAGGTCATTTAATAATCAAACCTAAAACCAGCTACTACTGAACTAATAGGAGACAACAAGCTCATAAGTTAATGTCAAAATGTCAACAATGATGTCTTCCTCAGAGGACTTCAAGAAATATTGGAAAGAGGTTTTAGTCTGGCAAACTAGATTTCACAAACTCCATGCACATTTGACAATCCCTCTGAAGTCATAACATTTATTCTTGTCTTCTAACTTAGACATGTTTTCGTTGACTATCAGCTTAACATTATCATGCAGTGGGCTTTGCATGTTGTTCCAAGGAAGGAAATAGGGCCAAGACCCTTATGACATCAGGGATGGGAAAGGGAATGATTTGGCAGTATGACTGGGCTCTTCCCCATGTAAGAACTACCGTATAATGGTACTAGCAACGGATCTCACTGCCTGCTGTTGGCAATCCTAGTATTCCATAGATAGTTCCACCTGTTTCATTTAACTGACCTGAGCTAAAGGATCCTACAATAAAGGTACTGGAGAATAGCACCCTTCATTTATCCATTACACTCACTGAATGCTGCCTGCTTCACCTTGCCCAGCATGGCTTTGGTACCCTGTAGAGCTGTATGGAAAGCTTGTATTTCATATGATAGCTTATATGAGCTTGTATCAAATTCATTTGAGTTATCTCCTGAGAGGTTCCAGAGGCCACTGCTGGGTGGTTACCTGCCAGACACGGTAGCTAAAGTTAACTAAAGTCGCTCTATCTCTTGCAACAAAACTCACTCTACCACCTAATCCCCTCCATCACTGAGTAGCTAGAAACTGAAAATTAAGTTCAGTCTTTTCTCTCTCTGCTGGGCCCAAAATGAAGGTGTAAAAGTGAAAGCTCTCCTGCTACCATTGTGTGTAGCAGCCTGTTTACTCCTTATTTGTGAAAGCGTGTTTCTTTGGAGTTTTTCTAGGAAAAATCAAATATGCCAAAAGAGTGTGAAAAAAAAGATGGAATCAAGCTTTGTGCAATGAAAGGGGAAGTAATTCTGAGAAACACAGCAATTTAGATATTAAAATCTTCTTTCTCCATAAGAGAAAACCCCATCCATTAAAACAGTCATAAAGCCCTCTAAATCAGGCTCAGGTACCTTTTAGGAAGATGATTACCAGTTCAGGAGCTGTTCAGTGTGGAGAAGTACAAATGTACCAGTTTTAATCATGATAAATAACTTCTCTTTTATCAAATCATCTCTGCTGGAAATAGTTTTGCTCTGTGCAGTAACGATAATTTGCACACTTATCATTCGGTACCTTCCCAAGACAAGCAGCCAGCCAAGGGATGTAATTTAACAACTTATCAACCACAGGTTCATCCAGCCCTTTCCAGCCAAAAGGGCATTTCACACTATTTAAGAGGCTTCGCCATATATTGCCATCAATTTAAGATTTTACCAGCCCCTAGTCATTAAAATTTTCCACTCAGCACTTCACTTTATAACCCGGGGACTGAACGGTAGCTGCTGAACGGTGCCAGCAGGCCCATGGAATTATCTGCTTTGTGCAGGTGATGGGATAATTACCAAAAGAATGCAAATCGCTAACTGACTATCAAAGGACACAATCACGATTAGCTGTACTTGTCACGTACAGAGCATGGTAGAGCGGGGGAAAATAGGAGTTTCTGTGGCATACTATCCCCTTTCTTGTGTGTATTCTGATGGAGATCTCTCTCCAGGGTTTTGTCTGTTGAGTGCTGGAGGGGTGGGGTCTGGCACTCAGTGTTTTGGATGTTGTCTCCAGTGAATCTGCAGCTGACGGGCAAGGAATGTTGGAGAAGTCACTCACCTGCAAAACTCTGTGATCTGGAAGAGCCCTGGCTTCAAGGTCAGACTGTGTCTTCATGACTGGTGCAAAGGTGTGCCTATGTTATTAAAGCCAGGAATACAGGAGTTATGTTCAGGTAGGATCCTAGTTGTTTTGATCCTAGTGAGGAACTGGCTGGTGGTGGGCACAGGAGAGCACTTCTCTGTATTTAAGGTACAGCGCTTTGAGTGAGCTGACCTGGTGTTTGGGATCCCCTCTTTGATGAAAATACCTGCTTGTTGGTGTGTAATTTCTTTTTGGATGACAGGTTCAAGCAAAATGAGGTTAGAGGGATGACTGAATGGGACTTACCCACCTGAAAAAGGTTTTCTCCATCCCAAAATTCTACAGCAATTACCCTGGGCTCCCATTATAGTCAGGATACACAAAACTAATATAGTCTTGGGTCTTCCCCTTCTTTTTCTCAACTAGGTCATGGTACCCTAAACTGTATTGTTTTCCCTCTTTTCCTATAAATAGAGACAGGGTGAGCAGCTTAGCAACAGAATTCTGCATTGCAATGTGAATAGTGGAGGAGTCCTACTTGCTCCCATTGACATAGGTTTTATTAGGCTGGAGACCATCCCTGGACTTTGTAGAAGCCTTCTTCTGACAACTTTACTGCCTCTTACTGAGCCTGCTATTGTTGTCCTAAAAAGAAGCACCAGTGCAGTGCTTTCTGGTCTCCTGACAGACACAGTCAGGCCCAGTGCTCTCCAGCTGGCCTGCTAACGCCTCACTGCACCATCCTCAGATTCCTAACTGCACCCCCTACTCCTCCCAGGAACCACACTGCTCATGGCCGGTTCTTTCCTCTTCCCACTCACATCTCTGCTTGGATGGGGAGACTGGAGAAGAAGTGACAGCATTCATAGTTCTCAGCACAGTGGATGAGGCTTTTCTGCTGGCTGCTTCAAAGCTCACAGGAATCTGAGGTGTCTGCCCACTTGGCAAACCTGGCTGAACCTGATCAGCCAGCCCCGAAGTTGTTTGGAGAATTGGTCTGCAAGTCTTGTTTCATCAGGAAACCATCATTTATTTAAAGCTTTGTTTCATTTAAATAGAAGTATTTTCTCTCCTTTGGCTACTTCTTGCTTTTAAAAGGTCTTTCAGACTGGAAGAAAAAGCATATAATCCCATCCGTAAATGGTTCAGCATCCATTTTAAAATGCTTATGTCTGTGTAGCTATTTATCTTTCAGGTGGCTTACAGGTGCTGTACAGGATCAGAATTAAAGTCTGCTTGTATAAGGTAATAGGGAGGTAACATTTACTTTAAAAAAACCCAGCTTCTCAATCAGATGACTCTGCTATGCCGTATTATTAAAATGCAGAGATTGGTCAGGGAATTTTTTTTGAGCCAGAATCCAGATTTACAAATGCTTTTTGCTTAAGAAGGAGGCTAGGCTTTAAGAATATATCCCTTCTTGCTTGGTTTGGTAACATCAGGGCAGAGTTTTCACCAACACCAGGTGCTTGGCATCATGCAGGAAGCTGCTGAAGGCTCGAGTCTCTGTTTTACAGAAGCTAGTGGGTATTTTTGAAGTCTGATGTCTTCTGAAAATATGTCCGGGTTGTTCTCCAGCAAGCTATGGAGACCTGAGGATGTCACTGGAGCATACTGGGGAAGGCTCTTCCCCCAGCACAACTTCCCCTCTCTGGACTGCAACCTCAGAGGCTCTCCAGTCTTTTTTTTCCACCCATGTAAGTGAGGAAGTTGTTCACAGGCTCTCAGTCCCGGGCTGTATTTAGGATTTCTGGAGGGGATTCCTAAGGACTACAGTTATCAGTGTTAAAGACTTGGACAGGACATGTGTATTTTTTTCCAGAAGTCCTGCAGAAAACCTAAGGAGTCCATTTTCTTATAACTGTCAGCCTCCTGAGAGTGGTGTTAGGATGCATGTAACTGCTCTGCTCCTGAGTGAGCACAGTACAGGACGTTTTCTGCCACCTGCTCTGCATTTAGGGTCCACTGAATACCTTTGTATGTCCAGTTGATGAGAGACTCCTCCGTGCAGTTGGCAGCACTCATCCACATAGCCTGTGGTAACTCAGCAGAGCAAACGCCTCTGCATGAGGTCCAGGGCTGTACCAGCACACCGCCTTCTGTGGGTGGCAGCTGTGTGAGGAAAGGCTACCCCGACAGGCCACGTAAAGACATCTTTGTTCAATAAAACCCAACAGTTGCTTGGCAATTAGTGAATAAGGGAACTTCACAAGCCAGGGCTGCAGCCGGTTCTCCGTGTTTAATAGCCGCCAGTGGGTCCAGTCTACATGAATTTGTCTAACACCTTTTTTAACCCATTCATAATTCTGGTCTTTGCAACATCCTGTGGTGATGCTTGCATATTTATTTGTTTTAAACTTGATGTCTGGACATATCGTTGGATGACCATTTCCCTTCCTGCCAAAGCCACTTGGTTGCACCTCATTTCTTCAAAGAGGGCTCTGATGCAACACCATAAATCGTTATGGTCAGAAAATACTCTTTTGAATGCCATAGTATTCTTTCAAAGCTCTGGACTGTATGTGGTCTTTTAAATACAAAATGTAAGCCTAAATATTGAAGGGTATTTTCCCTTCCCCCCCCAAGTGATCTGGAAAGGAGCATATTGTCCTTGGATTGTTTGCAGAAGCTGGAGTTCAGTAGCTGTCATTTGTTTGGCTTCCCCCCCACCTCCAATACTGATGATGTCCTGGAAGACAGAAGGGGGATGGGGTTTGGATGGGCTGGGGCAAGTGTAGTGAGGTTTTGAAATTGCTAGCAGTGATGTTTTCGCATCCAAAACATCTCTCTTCTCTCCTTTCTTGAATGTATTGTGCTCATTTATTATTTTCTTTGACCAGAGGCCAACAAACAGCAAGTAACACATATATATTTTGCAGAACAAAACTAGGGAGTGGTTTCTGGTATAGGGCAGATGCAGTCTTAGAGAATTATTAAGGTGTCTGTGTTCACCCTACATGATAGAAGGGGAAGAATCAACACTGCAATCACTGTTCAGAAACCATCCAAAACAAGTGCAAACCTTCCAACCTTTAAAAAAGAAAGTGAAAATTAATCTGAGAAACTTTAAATTTGGCAAATATTTTTGAAGATCTGAAACAAAGTACTACAGGGTGCTCAGGATGGAGCAAACTGTGGTTCATCATCCAGAGATTTTGGTAAAAGACTGAAATTCACTGGACTCTGTGCTCCTGAATGTGTTGAAAGATTAAGAGCCTCATCCTATGATACTTGGAGACAGTGGAACTTTTGACTTGGTCAAACAAAGGTCATCAATAACGGATTTAGGTTTCCAATAAAGCAGATGTGCTGTCCTACAAGGTAGGGGCAAAACACCTCTGTCTAATCAAGCAGATCCTGTTGTTCTGGCAAGATGTCAAAGCTCATGTCTCCAGGGAATACCCATTTCCTTGCCTCAGGAAAGCAGTCTCCCAGCAACCGTGGCTGCCCACGAGAATATCCATTTGCAGCAGGCGTGGAAGTCATTATCTACTACAACCATCCCATCACAGTGAATCCACATTTTATTTCTACATAATTCATCTTTTGCACACCCTTTTAAACCAATGAAGGGGGCCATGAAACTTGCCCTTGCACGGGTAGAGCACAGCAAAGTGAGCAGCTCAGGCAAGCTGGGCAGGGAACGCCATAGCTGCCTGCCTTTTCCAAAAGGGAGAAAATTCCTTTTCTCTGATATGCCATGCTGGACCCTCATGGTAGTAGACTATTAATAGCTGCAGGTCACTCCAGGAGAATGCATGAGGAGGGTGATATGTATAGCATACACACGGGTTTGCATGACAAGGGAAGCGGCTGTTAGTGAGCCAGAGGTTGGCTTCACCTGGGTCTCAGTTTCTGATCTCACAATCTTTGTCCTCATGAACATGTGTGCTTGGAATAGGCTGTACCAGCGGTTTCAGTCCCTTTGGGGTTTCAACCTTGAGCTGTTCAAACCTGCAGACATGAACTGTTCAAAACTGTCTTTAGCTATTTGTTAAACCAAGAAAGGGAAAAGAAAGAAATGTCGCCATCCTGACATGCAGCCCAGTGCATGAGTTTGTCCTGAAGAGAGCTGTCTATACATTTGTCTCTACATCAGAGAATCTAAGTTATTTTAGTTGTTGAGTTACTTATGCCAAGGAAAACAAACCAAAGGGCTCCACACCCAGCACTGATTTTGTATAGTGGTGTGATGAATGTGGACTGAGTTTAACAAAACAGATCTTTATTGTGCTTATCACTTATCTGGCAATATCTAGATTAATATTTGAGGTGACAGGCCATATAATCCATAAAAGGCAAATTATACATCCCCATAGTCTCATCAAAATGAAACTTCCCTGTATAATGAGTAGAGTAGCATAGATAGGCAGTAAAAGTGAATATGTCTCTCTGATAGTTAGAAAACAAAGCCCTTCCTCACCTCCCTTTTAATAGCAGTGGCTCTGAAAATGGCATTAGTTTTACTTTTGTCCCTAAGGCTAAAAGGAGAGGCACATGTGACTCTTTGGTCTTTCAATTAAAATGAACTTCACTGCAAATCGTTTGTTCTTTTGTTGTCTTGCCAACTGGGTGGCTTCAGGAGCTTGAATAATATATGTGCAGCATTGTACAGTAATTGTTCCCCACCCTCAAAAATTCACAGATTATGAATTCATAGACTGTTTGTGCAGCTGATGGTGGCTTTGAGCTTCTCCACAGCTAGGGAAGACCAAACCCACTGCAGATTGCATGTATGCATCTTCAGTGAATCTGGATTTTATATTTATCCTTAGCCTGAGATAACAAAAAATACATCAACATCAAGCCTACTACAAAGGGTACATCATGACAGCAGGATATGAAGCCCAGATTTATTCTGGGTATCCTTAAATGAAGGGAAATCTAATTGAGGTGACTGGTTCAAGAACATTCCCTGAGCTATAATACCCACAGCCAGTGCAAGGGAGACCACTCCAGAAGCAATGAGAATGGGATGCATTGCCCTGCAGCACCTCTTTTTCTGTCTTGGGAGAAAAAAATAGAGCTCTTAGGGTGAGCAGTCAGTAATACAGAGTAAAGGTAATGCATTGAGTTGACATATACCAAGGCTTGTGTGTCTGAAAGTGTTCAGGTCCTGACAGAGAAGACTATAGAGCTAGAAGTGTCAAAGTTGCTGTTGTTGTATTGCTAGGACTGCTCAGACCTGAGTGGAAGAATAGTCTTGCAGCTGCAGGTGGGAAGGAAAGAGGGAAAACAGTGAGGTAAAGGCAGAGGAGCAATTAGGAATAATGAAGGTGAGTGAAGGAAGGAGAAAATGCAAGAAAAGCTAGAACAAAGAAGCTGAAAAGGACACAACACAGTGGTAAGAGCACTTTATAGCAGTGTACATATCTGCAAACCTGCTCTGAGCAGTTCGTTTATTCCTCTCTCAGCAGAATGCACCGGTGCTTCAGTTCCTCACCGCGGAGCGGCTCTAATGAACGCTCTTCTGTAGTCTCCTAAACACCTCCCATGGCGTATGCAGGGTACGCTAACATGCTTGTACAGCTTTGCTTAGCAGTGAATAGATCTGCCCTAACTTCAAAATACATCAGTGGCATGTAGCCTCAGGACCCCCTGTATCTTAAACACATCCCTGGTGGCAAGCCAGATTTCACTGTACACAAAACAATGCTGCTTTCCTTTTTTAGGGCACTACCTTCACATTCACCTAGAGGAGTTGCAGCCACCTACAGCACATCAGCCAGATGTGAGCCCACAAGGAACAGAGGTGTTTTTGTCACAGGTGTGTTCGTCCCTGCACATCGTGTGTGTAGGTGTCAGCCTCTGCACTGAAAAGAATTTATATTTTTACACTTCTTTTAAAAGAATGCTACTCTCTGGGAGGACTTCAGTGCCTGGGGGCAAAAGGAAAGGATTGTTTTGGTTGTTTTGAATTGAGCATTGTCTCTTTGCGTGTTATGGTACTCCAGTTTCCCACTTGTGGGCTCTTAGCCTGCATGCTCGTGCCTTTCAGCAGACCTTCCTGGTAGTAATGCAATAGTGAAAAGGATTAGTGATGTCTTTCAGAGCGTTTGAAAGTTGACAGAGTATTTCTCTGTCTGAAGCAATGAAGTTATGCCTGTACGGAGGTCCTGAAGACCTTGGCAGGTATTCGTGGTACAAAAATTGGACAGAAGTCTCAATCCTAAATTTCATTCCACAGTATGAACACAGGTGCTCCATGAAGGATTCCTTTAGGATGTATATTGCACATGAAGGAGTAAATTTTACACAGAGAAACTGATCTCTGCTGTCGCTGAGACTGGGCATGAGTGAGGTGTGAGAAGGAATGGTACTGGGGGACCTGCAACCTGTCTGCTCTTGGCTGCTTGACAGCCCTCAAGGGTCACTGCCTCTGGAGGATAGCTTGGAGCAACGCTGGGTCACATCTTGAGTGAGGGGATACAGGAATCTCCTCTTCAATTCCTTCACTTCTCTAGTGCTCAGATCTGAATGCCAGAGGTCTGAGGATTTGAAGAAACCATCACCCATTCCCAACCTCATAAATCCACATGGTTACTGATTTTAGGAAAGCTGCTGATGAGTATCTGTGATAGGAGGTGGTGGCTTCAGAATGAAGATTTGCTTATGCAGAGTATCTGAGGAAACCTTAATCTGAATTAACAACATATGTGAATTGAAAGTGGATTATTGATGTCACATAAATGGATAGATTCTTTAAATTCTTTTCTTCAGAATTAAAATTATCGTAACTTGTTTCAGTATAATTCTGAAAGAGAATGTTACAGGTATGTAATGAAATATAACATACTGACCATAAAAGTTAGTCCTGGTTATTTTTTTGTGTGTCTCCCAGCAGGGGAGATTAGAATACAGTCCTGATTTTTTTTTTTAGTAGGAAACTTGTATTGTCTTTACTGTGGATTTTAATAACTCATTCTGATAATGTAGGAATCTGTTTTTATTATGATTGTACAATTTTTAATATTAGGATATGAAATCTCTGAATAAGCAATTAATTAATCCTCACCATGTCCCTGTGAGGTTGGTAAAGGGTTTGTAGCAATTGCTTCATTCATTGCTTTGCTATGTCTGCTTTTAATGTGGAATACAGCAAGGCAAAGCAGTACTATAAGATATGGGAGGGAAGATAAAAATCAAATCTTATTGAATGCATGCAAGAAAAAAATGTCACTACCCAGCTCAGAATTTGGTCATGCCACCATGATGTACTTGCAAGAAAATATCAGGGCAGCTTTAGCAATTAAGGCGTCTGTTTTATGTCTAATCAAACCCACAGAACATGTAAGGCTTCCACACACACTGCACTGTGGTGAGAACTGGCTTAATAGCGGGGTGTAAATATCATAAAAATAATTGTAAATATGAAAAAATAAATTTATCTGATTTCCTTTTATTTGTAAATAGGATATATCTATTTAAATTACATTTCTTAAAAAAAAAAAGAAAAAAAAAAAGAAAATTAAAAGAAAAAACCTCTGAGAAGATGATTGCTCTCTGAAGGCTGACTGCCCCTTGTCATAGCCTGCACCAGTATTGCAGTGCAAAGTGTTGCAGTGCAAAGTGTTACTCCTCACAGTCCCGTTTTTCCATACAGGCAGCTTCTTTCTTTTCCTCAGCAGAAGGTTTATTTTGTACTCAATGCTAACTCTCATGTTTGTCTTATTTCTTTGAATGAGCACAAGCACTGTGCTTTTGTTCTTTTCCTTTTCCAGTGCCTTTTTGCTGATTTTCTCTGCATGTATCTGAAAGGTCAGGAAAACAAATCAATATGGAAAAGGACCTCCTGCCCCTTTTAACCTAACCTATAGGAGAGAGGGAAGGGAAATTGTCAATTACATGAAGGTGGACTTTAAATATGCTTTAAAAAAGCACAGTGGAAGTGAGAGTTTGGAAGGACAGGTGTCAACAAGACCTATCTCTGCAGTTGCAGGGTGCCTTTATGAACTCACAGTCTTCTCCTCTCTGACAGTATATACAGGCAGATCCACAGAGCTAAAACACACTCCATGGAGAGGCAGTGTAACAGGGAATGGCCCTCTCATTTCAGCATTACTGACTGCATAGGTCTCTGAAAGGGAGGCACTGGGAGCTGGACTGAGACTCCGCCCCAGTGGTTTGAGGGCTAGCAAATGCTGACTGCTATCTTCTACTGCCTGGGTTTGCTTCACTACTTTCTGGTTACCACTATCTTATTTCCAATCCTCAAGGTGACCTGCTGCTTATTTTGCAGACAACCCCTGTGCACATTGCAGAACAGCAGGAAGCAGGAGAGAGGCTCCATATCTGCATAGCAACTAGATTTCTGCTGCACCATCACTGGTGCAGTGAGGCCTATAATGGAGTTTTTGTGTAAACTCAAGCCTGAATACTACAGACAAGTTTACTAATCATGGCCTCTGTTTCCAACATCCAGCCTCAAACATTCAGCTGAGAGTCTTCCATTAGGAGAGCAGTTCCATAACCTCCTTGGCAGTTAGTGGAGAGGAGATAGTGTCTTATGTTAGATGCTAAAAATTCAGGCCTTAACCACTTAAATTATTTCAGCCTTTGAACATCTGCCTTTGAATTTAGACTTGATTGATCTGTCAGGTCCAAGACCCTTGAACACCCAGCTAAGGCACCCCTCAGCCTCATCCCAGATGTTTAAGAATAACTTTTCACTTACTCCTTATTTGGCAAATACCACAGTGTGGAAAAGGGGCTAATTGCTCTGTCCTCCTTCCAGCATCAAGGTCAGGAAATAGAGAATCACAGAGAGCAAAGCGATCCACCCCTTTATGCACAGAGTTGGAGTTTTAAACAGCAGCCATCCGACCTGAATAAGCAGCAACATTTTTTGCACAGATATCAGTGGAAGGGTTCTGCATCCCTTCCCCCCACCCACTAGCTGCCTGCTTCATTTCTATTCTCTCTTTCATGTTACATTTTTCTTACTGAATCAGCAGTAGCGATCAAACCCTTCTTTCTTGCATATGTCTACACAAATAACCTTCTTTCAGGGGAAAACAACAGTGCCCATGTGTCTCAGAAAGCTCAGCATTTGTGCTGCTGAGTGTAGGATGGTGGTGCCCCTACTGAACACTGGTATAGAGTGTCAGTTGCCAGAGAAGAGAGACAGAATCAGGGGACAGAAACAATGATGTATTTTACCTCTTTCTGAAATAATCTGTTTTTCTACTGAAACTACTTCATTAAAAGCTTTTTAAGAATAATGTTCATACTTTGTTTGCAGTAAAAGCCTTTTGCAAAAACCAGCTGTTAGAAAAAGAATGTTCTTTTGCAGATGCTAAAAGCTGAAGCCCATGTGGTAGATGTTTTTCAGTCTTCACTTTTCTTCCTGCTTTCTGCCCTGCACCAATCCTTTACACTTTGGGCCCATTACAGCTCTTCAACTGACTGCACAATGATGATGGCAGAGCCAGGCTGAAGATGGACCATGCTGGTATGTTGCACCTTCCATTTTGAAATGTCTCATGGATAAGCTGTTAACATCTGCTGTAAGTTTGCTGTGCCTCTGGGTACAGTTTTCATACAAAGATCAAACTCTAGGACTCGAAAAACCAAAGCCAAGCAAGGTTTTGAGGTTGTTGGGTGAAATTTTTATACTGAAATGCTCTGTGTTGTCAGAAAAGTGAGCCTAAGATTTATATCCTCAGAAATGAAAACTGAAATTGGTCCATTAGTCTGAGCAGAGAACAATTTACCTGCAAATGCCTTTACTCTAAATGAGAACATGGACACTTTACTGGGCAGAAGTAATAGACTTTGAGATAAGATGGGACCATGAGTCTGGCTTCCTGTGCAGCTCCAGGCAGCTCTGCTTCTCTTTCAGGTCTTTGGAAGGCTTCAAAAGGCTGATAATAAAGAATTATTAACATGAAGGCCCCTTACATTGCTGGATCGTAGACACCTGAATAAGCCCTCACTATAGAGGGGGGCCAGATTTTTATCCCAGTGGTGTAAACCTGTAGCAGTGGATTTTAGAGAATATTAGTGAAATTCCTCTAGAAAAATCCATGTGTAATGGAAATGAAACATTTTTAAAGCAATATATTTTTATACTGGTTAGCTGCCCCATCCTTCAGCCTATACAATTGTTTGCGATTCTCAAGTTGGTTTGATATGGCTGGGCAGAAAGACATCTAATTAATCACTACTCACATTGTTACAGGAATTTCCTTCTTGCAGTCTGATGTACCTCAGAAAATGACACTGAACAGCTCAGAATATCTCTGAGGTGATGGTATGGTCACCCATCTGTATCTCGCCTGGGAGCATTTTTCAGACCTTTTGAGGCTTAGTTGCTCAAAACATCTTAAAATTATGTTTCACATGAACTTGTGCTCATCTTTATCTCTCAGCGGAGACAGCAGTGCTGAAGCAGTAATCCCCCCTGGGACTCCCTACCTAATGTATTCTCTAAGTGATCAAGACATTTTGCTTACCTTCTCATCCACAAAAAGAGAAGTATGTGTCTTACTAAGATTTGAACAATGAAAATCAGAGCAAAGGGCTGTAATGAAATAGACTGATGAAGAAAAGCCCAGGTAATTAACATGTAAAAGTTAATTATTGCAGGCATTACATGTGGACTGATCTGTTTTATCCACACACAAGCTTGGCTGTTTGCTGGAATATGGCAGGGTACACTGAGCACCATGGGCTTACTCAGCATGCTTCACACCACAGCAATGCATTCATTCTGATGATCACATAACTCCCATCACTCCATGATGTACTGTGTGCTGAAGTGCTTGTGCTATGACACAGACCTGAGCATCCCACCACTAAACTATAATAGCAATGATGAAAAATCATCTTAGGGAAATGATCGTCCCGCTGTACTTGGCACTGGTGAGGCCACACCTCAAATACTGTGTACAGTTTTGGACCCCTCATTACAAGAAAGACATTGAGGTACTGGAGTGTATCCAGAGAAGGGCAACACAGCTGGTGAAGGGTCTGGAGCACAAGTTTAATGAGGACTGATTGAGGGAGCTGGGATTGTTCAGCCTGGAGGAAGGAAGGCTCAAGAGGGCCCTTATCGCTCTCTGCAAACATCTGAAGGGAGGTTGTAGCAAGATGGGGGTCAGTCTCTTCTTTCAAGTAACAATCTACTGGACAAGAGAAAATGGCCACAAGTTGTGCCAGGGGAAGTTTAGATTGGATATTAGGAAAAATTTCTTCATGGAAAGGGTTGTCAAGCATTGGAACAGGCTGCCCAGGGAAGTGATTGAGTCATCATCCCTGCAGGTATTTAAAAGATGTGTGGATGTGGTGATTATGAACATGGTGGACCTGATAGTGTTAGGTTAATGGTTGGACTCAATGATCCTAGAGGTCTTTTCCAATCTAAATGGTTTGATGAGTCATCTTTCCCCTTCTGCTAATTTAACTCTGACCCTGCTGAAAATTTGGCACCATATTCCAGAAGCTAATCAAGGCCTTGTCTACTGTACTTTACTTGCAATTTCCCTTTAGAAAAAAGCTGTCAAGAGCAACCTGCCAGGGAAGACATTGTAATATTATGCTGAAAGCACATGCAAGGTGAGCCTGTAGAATTGAGATTCTGATAGCTTGTGGTTTTGATTTAAGGCTTTAGCTTAAGCCACCAACAGTATATTCTTTGTGTATGTGTGTGTGCATAATATAATTGTGTTTTTACTGCCCACAAATTCACACATAAAATTAGACAGAGCAATCTGTCACTGCCAGTAAATTTGGATTCAGGAAACAGATGTGCCTGTATCTCGCAATGTCCTCAGACCTGTAAAAGAGAGAAATTGCAAAGATCCAGAAGAGAAACTACTTAAAAAGTGGATCTCCATTATTTCCAAAGAAGGCATGAACAAATATAGACATTTACTCTGCAATTCTACATGGTAGTTTCTAATCTGCAGTATAATTGCACTTGCTCATATCATAACAAAGAATCCTGAAAATTTTATATGTGGTCAGCAAACCTCAGCCATCTTCTTCTGTGAAATCCTTGAAACAGTCAGACCCATGTGGCACTACCATGACTTTGGGTTAGACTCCTCCTTCACGGAGCAGAAATGACAAAGATCTGGGTAGCTTACTGGAGCCTTTCATGGGTGACTGGACTTCTAAATTCCTAAAAACACCAAAGGTTTCGAAAACAAATCTAGTCATTGCTGATACACTTGTCCATGCATGGCCATGTATTTGCTAACATAGGAGAGGTAAACTATGATCTCTTTGAGAGGTAAAGTGAGACCTCTTTTTGGAGCTCTCTTTCTCTGGCAGACTTTTGGGGTACAGTTATGACAGGATGTAGATTTGAGTCACCCATGGTTTGAGGTTTAATTTTGCAAAACACAAATCTCCCACTCAAACTTTCTGAAGAGCATCTTCCAGTGCTACCTCAAACTAGATCTCCCCTTGTGCTGTCAGGGGTGAGAGCAGCAACAATAAGCTAAGGGAACCTCTATAACCTTATGACTGCCATCATGCTGAGTGATCTTGTGCTTCAGTCCTGCACTGAGCAGTAGGGGGAGAAAACTGGGGAAGGCTGCAGGCTGGAGCAACAAGAGATCCATCAATTCTGACACTAAATTTTCACTTACGACTAAGCTAGTGCCTTTGGAAAACACTAAAATCTCAAAAGGTAATGCAGAACAGCACTCACCTTCTCTAATATGTGAGCAATGTCGAGTACCATCTGCATTCTCACTCTGCATTAACAGTAGTAGTAGTAGTAATAATAAGAAAAACAATAACAACAACAATAATTATAATAATGCATTGCAAACTCAGTTATGTCCTTCATTATGAGTTAGAACTACAATAAGCAACATCTGGTTTTTGTGTTTTTCCTGTTTTGGGTTTCCAAGGGCTGTTTGTAAGTCTTCCTGAGGCAGTAGCTTGAATCCCTGAGAGGAGAAATTGTCTTTCCTTTTTCCGAAGCAACCTCTCTAACTAATCCAAGACCTCATCTAAAGTAGTGCTTGGAGTATCTTCTGGATGGTTGAGAGTTGGTAAAAGGTAGCAAGGAGTGGAGGAGCCTCTGAAAAAGTCAGTTCCAACACTGTGAGCCGTTTTGTTGTGGTCATAGGGCTTTATCCCACTGGAAGGGCCAGAGCCTGACAGTGGAGAGGCTGTGTCACTCCAAATTATACCACAGATGCCTCTGCTATCATTACTCCCTATAATTGGTGTCATAGCATGGCCTTGTTGCTAAGTTTTCCTCCTTCTTTTATTATATAGGCCTCTTTCTATCTGCAGGCAAGTCAGGCAGTGAGCTTTTCAGTGATGACAGCAGGCAACAGTATTTACTGAAGGAACTAGAGCTGTCAGCTTGGGAAAACATGGGAAGACTGAAGGAAAAAGGAGGCCAGTCCCACTACCTGCCTCAGCTTCACTCAGGCTGAGCTGAGCCTACCAAAATCTTGGAGGTACGAGTGGATCACAGGGACACTGAAGAAAGCAGGCCTGAAGAAATCTGGGAGGGATTAAGAGAGTAAGTCTGTGTATGGTCACCTATCAGTATTAGCGCCTAACTCTAGAAACTGAGGCCAAATGCATGGGAATTAAGTGCTAGTGGGATTAAGTTTGGACTTGCACACTCCAGCCAGCACTGACAGGAGTGACCACGGAAACAACCAGCAGAGCTCTGCTGCACAGGATGTCCAAGTCAAGGCAACCTGGCACTCTTGCCAGCAAGAGGTGATGGAGCCAGAGCGTGTCACCACCAGAGTTGTCGACCTGGCACAGCCCGGTTCCTAGAGGGAGTCCACTTTCTTCGGCAACCCAGGAGTGCTCACTCACTGGTCGTCTGTCAGGAGCTGTGAAGAATTGGGAGCTGGATACACGTGGAGTGATTTGAAGCATCTCAAATGCTGCTCTGGGTTTTTCAGCTGAGAAAACACTGCTACAAAAGTCAGTGTTGGTTGCATACATAACTCAGCACTAGAAGAAATCCCAGCAGTTTTGCTGGTCAGTGATTTCTTCAGGACTGGGAAAAAACCTTGAGTTAGGCTTAGAGGTTTTGTTTTTCAGCTATAACCTTGATTTGCTCTGACTTCATATGAACAACAAAATCTGTTATGTGTCTCTCTTTATAACCCACTTGCTTGGTGGAGAGTCAGACAAACAGTGCCATACAACCTTTGAGGAAAAAAAGTTAGGTTTGTAAATGAAACTGCTTTGATGGCCTGGTTATTGTACATTTCATTAATTTTGGTGTCCCCCTTCTTGAAATCTGAACACACACTTTGAAATAATCATGGTGATTCTGGCTTTTAAAATACCTGCTGGTAATTTTATTGACAATGCAAATTCCCTGATCTCAGACAAGTTCAGACTTCAGCAGTTGCTTTTCAATCACACCAGCAAATGCAGGAGCAGAATGGGATCCTGATAATCAAAATCACTGGAAGGCATTCCTTGCCCTCCATGACTTAAGAGAAGGCTGTAAACACTGCATCCAAAACTCCTTGTTATGCTGGCTCAGAAAGTATGGGGTGTGAAACCATTAATTTTCAGCTGTGGCTCTGAGGACTAAATTTTACTTTGACACTGGAAAAATGATGCAACTCTGGATTTACATGGGTGAGGTTACATTCTGTCTGAGATTTTTGTAGTTGAATAAATTGGGGAAGATGTTGGAATAATTACTTTTGAGGGGAATGGGATCAGCTCACCCCTTTATGCTGAAATTTGGGCTGAGACCAAAAGGTACAGTGATCAATTCCTGATACTGCAGAATAATCTAAGCAGACAAGATGTCCTCCTCATTTCTGGACCACATAGAAAAGAAAAAAATAAAGGCAGCTCCCAAGAACACTACTTTTAGCCTAGACCTTGCCAGTTCCTCGAAAAAGACAAAGTGATATAGTGAATTTCTTTGGGAAAGAGGAAAGGACTGTAGTTAATTACACTGTTTTCCAGCCCCTGGATGTACTCAGGTTGAGGTTCCTGGAACACTTGGGTTATGGCATTTCAGCAATCGAATAATATCATCACAATGACATGGCATGACAGGCCTCTTATCATGCACAAGGTATGTGTGTTGTCTGCATAAACACACTTATCATGTGTCTCACAATAGATGCTGGTGCAGGGGTACCAGGTTCCATCCATAACAGTAAGGCAATATTAATCCCACAAAAGATCTTACACGAACCCTACAAGTCAGTCAAAACTGGTTTTGCATGGAGAAGCTGCTACTTGTTTTGTTTGACTTGTTTGGGTTTTGTTTTTAATTTTAATTCATATTCCTGTTCCAACATGACTTGCAGAAGTTGCCTAGAAACCATCTCGCGTCAGCTCACTCATCC